GCTCTTTGTTCCCTAGGGAGGCCACACGGCTACGGAGCCGGTGGCTGACGTATTTCATGGCTGTTAAGTCCAACGGCAGCGTCTTTGTCCGGGACTCCTCCCAGGTGCACCCACTAGCTGTGCTGCTACTGACTGACGGGGATGTCCACATCCGTGGTGGGTACCTGCACACCTCCTGCCCCACCGCTTCTCCGGCTGCTCTGCCTCCTCAGGGGTCCGGTCTCACTCACCCGGGCTCCCCGCGTCTCTCCCTTCCTCTAGATGATGGGCGCCGGGCCACCATCTCCCTTAGTGACAGCGACCTGCTGCGGCTGGAGGGCGACTCACGCACCGTGCGGCTGCTGCGGGAGCTGCGCCGGGCCCTGGGCCGCATGGTGGAGCGGAGCCTGCGCAGCGAGTTGGCTGCACTGCCGCCCTGCGTGCAGGAGGAGCACGGGCAGCTGCTTGCGCTGCTGGCGGAGCTGCTGCGCGGGCCCTGTGGCAGCTTTGACGTGCGCAAGACAGCTGACGACTAAGCCCCGTCTCCGCTGGGGCCATGTACAGAGTGCAAATGTTTATTTAAAATAAAGTTCTATTTATCCCTTGTGAGCATCGCTATCCGCTGGGGCTCCCCAAACCAAGAGGAAGAGTGAAGGCTCAGAAGGGAGGGCCCCAAAGTCTTAGGAGAGCAAGGGGCTTAGAACCCAGCCCTCAGGAGCTTGAACCACTCATGCGGATTCTTGGCTTATGCTGCTTGGCCCAGTCTAGTTGTCTTTGTCACAGCCGCGGTGGGAGGCAGTGTCCGTGCGCGTGCGGCAGGGCCCGCAGCCTGGATCATCTCTGGCTGGCTGTCACTTGCTAACCCAGGCAAACGGGGGAGGGAGAAGTTCCACAAGCAGCCTTAACCTTTGGTCACAGCCACAGATTCACAGACGAGGGGCTGAGGTCAAGACTGCACGCTGCACCCCAGTCCCTCAATGCGAGGGGACAAGCTGGGGGCTGTGGGGGCCTCGGATGCTGAAGACGTAGACAACCAGGACATATACAGAAGACAGGGCCTGCGTGGTGGGACATACGAGCTTTATTTGTTCTGGAAATATGAGCTTTACTCTGGAAATCATAACAACAATCACAGATCAACATGGTTAGCGGCTGAGCCATAAGCAAATGGGGAAGTACAGAAACGTTCCAGCCCCAACAGCTGCAGAATAGAACACAGCACACAGGGCCTCTGGTCCCACCCACCTGTCTGTCAGGGCGGCCTTCTCAGCTTCTCTGGCTTGTGGGACCCTTCAAGGGAGCTGTGACCAAACCACCTTTCAGAACACTGACCACTCCAGCACCCCCTAGAGTGCTCTCCGCCAGGGTCACCTCTCCCACCCCTACCTTTGGCCAACGGAGTAAAAGGACCGAGAGCTGCTTGTCCACCCCAGCATCAACACAGGTGCAGGTACCTTTAGGCCCAGCACTGTCACCCCACTGCATCTAGCACCCCACCTCCCACTGCGTTCTCCCAGTTTCATCTCACCCTTTCTTGCAGACAAAACATGGATGCCCTGATGTCCCTGGCGCCGTTGAAGCACTGTGTGGACAGTCTCTGGCCCTGGGAGCGCTTTTTCCACAAGGCCCCTGCAATTTCTTGGTATGTGCTTGGGGAGCTGGGGAGATGGTGTCGAACCTCCCCGGAGAAAATGCTACCTCAGAAAGGGAGAGCACCTGCCCAGCCCAGACACCCTCCCTCTACATGGACTTCAAATCTGACCCTAGGTCAACAGCTCCCACCTTCTCAGCGCCAAGGGATGCCAGAGGAGGAGGTGGGGAGTGTGAGGGGCCAAGTCTGCACTGCAGAAAATGCTCTTCCAGAGGAGAAGCCTTGGAGACTCCCAGGCCATTTCACTACAAACTGTTACGTTTTAATCCTTTATTAGAAACCATGCAAACTTTAATACAAAAAATACAAGTGCAATAAGAATCTTCGTGTCAATACAATTCCTGGGACTTATCATTGCAGCCATCCCAAGACCAGGCCTAACCAGGACACACCCCTTAGGCTGGCCTCTCCTCTCCTCTCTCCCCTCTCCAGTCAGGCCATAAGGGAGCCTGGATGGCCCATCTCATGTACTTATTTTTAAATTTCCAGGCTTGATTCCCCACTATCCACATGAGTTCTGAACACATCAGGCTCCCTGGCAACTGAGGGCTCGAGTGTCCTAGGTTGGAGGCTAGGAGGAATTTGACCTCCATGGCCCTTTCCAGCCCGACCTTGTCTCCCACCAGATCCCAGGGAATGAGACAGACATAGATGCCAAAACCAGCCTCTTGGTTAGAAAAGAAAAGCAGCATACACACAAAATGCCAGAACCACCAGTCCACACTCTGACCAGCCCCTAGCGGTCCCTGCCTGCCCTCTAGCCCACAGCCCCCCACTGCACCTGCCCTGCCCACACCACCTCCGGGGCCGGGGCCCCAAGCTGCCCAAGGCAGGGCAGCCTCCAATGCCTCACCTCCCAGCTGGAGGCTTCAGGATCTCCCCTCCCTGTTTCCTTTAACACCTACCAACGACTTTCATTCAGACATGGCTTCAACCTGCAAAACTATTCCACCGGTTTTCAGGTTATTAAAAAAAAAAGATAAAGTGTGACAGCAGCTAGGTAGGTATGGGAAGCAGCGGGGACAGGCAGCATTGCCCCTGACTAACTTGGGGGAGGGCAGCAAGAGGTGCCTGGCACCACCTGTGAGGTGGGCACCACTGTGGGGTCAAAGGAAGAGGCAGTGGCTTAGCAGGCTCCAGGGTACGCAGTCAGCACCCAGCCGTCACGGGGACATCCACTTCCACTCTTCCCTCCAGATGGACCGGCGAGGAGGGAGGGTATGTCAGTTTCTCTTGGGTTTGGTCCAAAAAACCCAAACAAACAAAGAGGAGGTTGGACTCCGGTTCCCCTCACCCAGATCCCAGGAGGTCCTGAACTAGCCTCCCCTACCCCACTTTCCACCCAAACTTCTCCGCGGAGCAGCGGCGCAATGGTGAGGACGGGGGAGCCAAGCAGGGAGCCGGGTCTGGGGCTGGGAGTGGAGGGAGCACGGGTGCGGGGCTGCTGCCACCCTGGGCAAGTGAGGTGGGAGGGAGGGAGGGAGGGGCCTAGAGGGCAGCCCGGGAGAGGGAGCTAGGGGCCCAGGTGCCTGAGCTGGGGCCGCCAGGGAAGTGGAGGGGGGCGGGAGACAATGTCGGCCCCATGGTCGGTGCGGGCCCTGGCATTTGCCCGGAACGTCAGCCTGTAGGTCTCAATCTGCAGTGACACAGGAGGAGGGAAGGGAGAGGGTGACGGGGGAGACAAGAAGGGGAACACGGGGAACAGAAGACGAGACCAGAATGTCATCATTAGATGCCTGGAAAATAAAAGGTTGCTTCGTTAAAATTCAGGCCACACTCCGGTCAGAAAACAAAGGAGTTTCAATCTGCAGCCAGTGGCAGGGCCCCTGGCTGGCCCTTAGGCCGAGCCCAGCCACTTACTTGTCTCCTGGATCTGGCTGTCCAAGGTCTGGGCCTCCCTTTGGTCACCACCCCCTGCCAGGGTGGTGTGGCCACTGAGGCCACTGGCTGAAGTGGGGGCGCCAGCTTCAGGCGCTGCCTCAGGGACGGCCGGCTCCTCCCCAGCTGGGGGGCCCGGACACGGAGGGGCCTCGCTGCCACCGCCCTCAGTCTACAAATGAAACAGTGGGGGAGACAGTGCAGGGTCAGTCGGGGAGGGCGTGGGATGGTGATGGTGGTGGGTTTCACACACAGTCCCCACCCCCGCTGCTGCTGCTCCCCATTAGCTCAAGGTACAGTCACCTGGGAGTCTAGACCAGGTGTCCCCCCGCCCCCCCACCCCCACCAGACCAACTCCTGGCCTGGGTGGCAGGGTGCTGGGTAAGAACTCAGGCTCTGGGGCAGTAAAGCAGTGCAGCCTGGCTAGTGACACGCTCTGCGAGCCTCCTCTGGGAGACGAAAGGCTTCGTGAAGCCTCTGACATGAGAGGTGAAAGGTGCCTGGCTTCTCAACAAGGCTGATGCCAGATCAAAACACTTATGACAGCAGATTGTTAGCAGAAAAGCTAACAATGATGTCAAATTGTGGGTCTGGAGCCACTAGGGCTAGGGAGCTCCGGGAGCTTGAACCAGTTCCTGAGGGGTGCAGGCTGCCACCTCAGACCTAAGGGATCCCAGGGCACTCCCTGCACACGCAAGTGTTCAGAGAGGCTTTCCCGGCCATTCCTGGGGCAGCGCTGCCCGTGTATCCATCATTCATGCGCCCCTGACACAGGCCTCCTCTGTGCTGGGCACCTTTCTGGGGCCTGGGGACACAGAGGAGGGAAGAAGGTGTCCAAGGAGGTGTGAGGGAGACTGTGGGGGCCTGGCGAGGAAGGCCTTGTGGCGGCCGTGGACACCCAGTGTGAGTCCAGAGCACAAGAGGGAGGGCTGCTGGGAGGCACTGGCGAGCTGGCACACCTGTGCTGGGAACGCCCAAAGGCGACAACAGGAGAAATCAGAGCAGTGAAAGAAAAGGGCCTCTGTGTTAGAAGAATGGTTCCAGAAGTGATAAGAAAGGGAGGTGATGTGAGTAAAGAAAAGACTTGCGGTCAGAAAGGCCCAGGCGTGAGCCCTCGTCTTGTGGCTGGGGACAAGTGACTACACCCAAGTTAATGCTCCCTGGGGTGCTGACCAGAGAACGGCTCCTCACAAGGTGTGGAGCATGTCCTGAGAGGCTGCGACAGAGGGAGCTAGTCTGGGCTTGAACAGAGCACTGAGGGGGGTGGGAAGAAGTGTGGGCTGGGATGGAGCCGCGCTGCGCGGTCAGATGCAGGGGAAGGCCCGGAGCACTGCTCAGGTCCCCTCTCCCTCGCCCACCCCTCCCTGAGCAGCTGCAGCCACCCTCAGGCTTGGAAGCCGGGAGGCGCTGCCCCCACGGTCCTGCTACCCGATGACACGGAACAAAGGACAGACAGCATCTTGGCAGACAAAAGGTCTCACGGTACTGTGGAAGGAGCGCGGAGGGAAGAGAGGGAGGGAAGGGAGGAGAGGCCCAACCAGGATGGGAAGCCCGCCGCCCGAGTGCTCTCCAGAGCCCGGCCTGAGCAGGCCTCCAGAGGGGGTGGATGCCGGGCCTGCCATCGTGGGCAGCTAAAAATGTGCCATTCCGCTCCCAGGCCCGGAACAGAGCCCGACACAGAGCAGGTACCGAACACTCCCGTCTCAGGAGGTGCTGCGAGAACCGTACCACACAGACCCCGGCCTTGTGGGGACCTGCACTCCAGCCCTGTCCCTCTGAACATGGCTGAGATGGGCTCAAAAAGGCAGGCCACTGCTCTCAGGAGAACGTTCCGTCTCCAGCTGGACAGGTGAGAGGTGACCGGGCTGGGGCCTCTTCACCTCTCCTGCCTCGCTCAAGACTGATGACAGACGATGGAAACAGCAATGGTGCGGGTGAAACATGACTCCTGAAGAGACTGAGGGGCGGTGACAGGTGCCCACCTGCTGGGACCCAGACTCCAGCCGCACAGCCCCACCCCCCAGCTGTGTCCCCGCCAGGACCCACTCACTACCTTCACGGCACCTCCTGCGGGCAGGTGGCCCACGTTATCAAGGGATCCCACCTTCGCCTGGGCCTTCTCCTTGAAGTTCAGCTTCTGACTTTCGATCTTGACATCTCCTCCACCTGGAACCAAAAAGAAATGGGTCACTGTGGGTGGCAGAGAAATACCCCTACAGGCAAAGCCAGGAGGCTGGCCAAGGACTGGGATGTGCCCAGTATAGAAATGGGGAAAAAGTGACCTGCTCTGAGGACAAAGGAAGAGGCACAGTGAACACATGCTTTCAGCCTCATAAACACCCTGATGCTCAGGGTCCGGATCCTGGAATCCTGGTTTTCCAGTTGCCACCACTGATCCTGGAGGAGAGGAGTGACTTGCTCAAAGTCACCAGCGAGCCAGTGACTCACAGGATGGAGTATATGGTCTAGGTGAGCAGTTTAACTGAATCTCACTGTCATGAAAAGAAGGGAAGGCAAGAGGCGGGAGCAGAGGGGAGGCAGTCTGTACACAGGCAACGTTCACAGCTCAGCCAGAGTGAGGCCACGGGATCAAGGGCCAGAGCACTGTCACTGGCCACCCGGCCCCTCAGCTTGGCTTTCCCTTGAGCCCTTCTTCATTCTCCCATCTCCTCGACTCATATCACCAACCTCAACACCTAGCTGCCTGCCAAATTCTCCAGGTACCCTACGCACTGGATTTCTGGCCCCTTGCAAAAACTGGACCTCAAGTCACTCAGTGTCACTAGGGAAGGAGGTATCTCACAAGAGTGGATTTTCCAGATAGAAGGAAAAATGAAGGTTAGTTAAGGGCCAAAGTGTTTTGATCCTTTTACACAGAACACAGAACATTCTAAAATGGATGACACTTTTTGCTGAGAGGGAAGGGAGTTTTCTTTGCCTTCACCTTAACTGGCCCGTGGCGTGGCGACTGATCTCTGAGACACCAGACCTGTCAGCCAGTGTGCCTGCCGCTACAGATACGGCCCTGACCCAAATCTGCTGCCGACCCAGGGTCCAGGACACACGAGGCTCTTAGGGTACAGCCGAGCCAAGAATGCAGGCCCTGCTCAGACAACACTGCCAGTGGCTCAGAGGCCTCCGCGGGGGCGCCAGGCCACCTGTGCTGCTGGCAAGAGAGTCTGCATTGCTGTAGTGGCAAGATCCACATGGGCAGGTCGAGGCAGCATTATTGAATGGCTCCCTATCTCCTGCTGGAGCTGGTGGTAGATGCTTCACTGCTCGGGAATAGCCTTTGCTCTTGAGTCTGACAGGCAAGGCCCGGCCACCACTCTCCAGAGCTCCTTCAGCACCAGCTCCTGAACGCTTGCCTGGGAGGCTGAGAAGGGTTCTTAGCCCATAGTGTACCTTTCCCCTAGGCCTAGGTCAAAAGTGCCATGCACACAGCAGATCCTCAAGACGCTGCTGGTGCAAATGGCAAACCTTCCACACTGTTCTTCCTCCAACTAAAAGGTTAGTGCCCAGAATCCCCCCTCCCTGACAGAGACTGAGGACTACGTTGTTTCTACTGCTGTGCCCTGGGTGTGTGGCTCCAGGAATCTTCATGGAAGGACAGAGACATAGAGGTGAAACCTGGGACAAGGGAGGCACCCACTCACCAGGCTTGTGCTTAATGTTAGCCTTGGACCCACACTTGGAGGAGACCTTAGAGATGTCCACCTTCTTATTCTGAATCTGAACCTAAGGAGAAAAACACACAAAAAAATGACTGCCTCAGAGAGAGAGGGTGTACTGCCAGGTCCAAACCCATGCTCTCTTTATAGCCTCCAAACCCGAGGTCAGAGGCCACCTTCTCCAAAGGCTTCCCTGGCTCTAACCTCACTCCATCTCTTCTTCATACCATCTCTTGAAGGGACCTCAGCATCAGCTCTACATTAATCACTTCATGTGCTCAATCATCATCTATAGCATACCTACTACCATCAAAACAGCAGCCTCTACTCTGGCTCATCTTTCCAACAAGGCTGCAATTCTCCCTAAATAGGAGCTTGGGGAAATGCACTTTTCCCAGCCACAGATCTGGCAGCTGCTAAAGCAAGCCACCACGTGTCCTCGGCAACGGTGAGAGGCTCATCTTGCGCCATCCCTGAGATGACCTGTGAGGAGTCAACAGAGGTCACTCGCCACGGCTGGGCTCTCTCTGGCCAGGGTGTGGAGTCCACACATCTGCTGACAGTGTGCCACAGCTGAACCTAGTCCTCAAAAAAAGAATAGTTGATAAGGGGAAGTTTCCCTTTATAGATGTATTCCAGCCAATAAATGAAGAAGGGACAGGAGAATTAGAGTCTCACCACAGTGCACCTTCACTGAACACGTGGTTTTGGGCATCAACAGCCACCAGCATCACGAGGAGCGAGACGACGAGAAGAGTGAGACATTATGTTTCCTGACAGAAACACGACCACTGCCTATGAACGTCTTGCAAAAATGTGGGGAAAAATATCAAGTCTGAATCAATCTAAAGAAAACTGTGGGTGCCCATCATCGGATAAATGGATAAAGAAGATGTAGCACATATATACAGTGGAATATTACTCAGCCATAAAAAGAAACGAAATTGAGCTATTTGTAATGAGGTGGATAGACCTAGAGTCTGTCATACAGAGTGAAGTAAGTCAGAAAGAGAGAGACAAGTACCGTATGCTAACACATATAAATGGAATTTAAGGAAAAAAAGTGTCATGAAGAACCTAGGGGTAAGACAGGAATAAAGACACAGACCTACTAGAGAACAGACTCGAGGATATTGCGGGGGGGCGGGAAGGGTGAGCTGTGACAAAGCGAGAGAGAGGCATGGACATATATACACTACCAAATGTAAGGTAGATAGCCAGCGGGAAGCAGCTGCATAGCACAGGGAGCATAGCACAGGGAGATCAGCTCGGTGCTTGTGACCGCCTGGAGGGGTGGGATAGGGAGGGTGGGAGGGAGGGAAGAGATAGGGGAACATATGTATATGTATATGTATAACTGATTCACTTTGTTATAAAGCAGAAACTAACACACCATTGTAAAGCAATTATACCCCAATAAAGATATTTTTTAAAAATAAAATAAATAAATAAAATAAAAAGAAAACTGTGGGACCAATGAATATGTTAAGTGAAACCATGGGGACATCCTCAGCAGAATCCAAATTTTAGGACAAACCACTCAGTTTACTCTTGAAAAATATTACCGTGAAAAAAGAAAAAATGAACAGGGAACTTGTAGAGTAAGAAAAACCTAAGATTATAAGATGCAAATCAACCAATCACAACTTACGGACCTTACTTGTCTCCTGATTAAGCAAACCTGTTTAACATGCTATGGGATTTTATATTATATACATATGTATATTAGAGTTCTTATCTTTTAAAGTTACATATTGGAGGGCTTCCCTGGTGGCGCAGTGGTTGAGAGTCCACCTGCCGATGCAGGGGACACAGGTTTGTGCCCCGGTCTGGGAAGATCCCACATGCCGCGGAGCACCTGGGCCCGTGAGCCATGGCCGCTGGGCCTGCGCGTCTGGAGCCTGTGCTCCGCAACGGGAGAGGCCACAGCAGTGAGAGGCCCATGTACCACAAAAAATAAATAAATAAATAAAGTTACATATTGGAATATTTGCAGATAGAAGATATAACTGGAACTGGCTTCAATATAACTGGGGTGGGCATTTATAGATAAGACTGGCCACAAAGATTAATAAATGAAGCTGGGTAAAAAAAGTACATCCAATTCACATTACCATTTTCTCTACTTTTGTATATGTTTGAAAATTTCTATAATTAAAAGTTTTAGGGACTTCCCTGGTGGCACAGTGGTTAAGAATCCGCCTGTCAATGCAGGGGACACGGGTTTGAGCCCTGGGCCGGAAGATCCCACATGCCGTGGAGCAACTAAGCCCGTTGCACCACAACTACTGAGCCTGCGCTGTAGAGCCCGCGAGCCACAACTACTAAAGCCTGCGTGGCCTAGAGCCCGCGCACCACAACAAAGAGTAGCCCCCGCTCACCGCAACTAGAGAAAGCCCGCGTGCAGCAACGAAGACCCAAGTCAGCCAAAAATAAAGTAAATAAATAAATAAGTAAATTCACTAAGTTAACAAAGCCTCTGAGACAAGCTCTGCCTTCCCAGGCTGGTACATAGAAGAGCCACAATCCGCTTCCAAAAGATACCCCCAACCCGCTCCCCTAGCCACCGGCCTTCGGCTTTAGGGAGCCACGTGCTGTTGCTCTGGCCTAGGACGTGTGTTTCTCGTGCTAGCCCCAAAGTCGCCCGCAGTGACGCCTGGCAGCCAGCACCAGCCTATTCACCACCAACCCGGCATTCCCGGACCTCGCTCCCGCCGTGTGCTCACGTGATCTGCCCCTGTCCTGCAGGCTGCTGCAGGTGTCAATACTGCTACTGAAGTGACACTGCCAACAGGTCTCAGAACCCATTAACAGACACACCCCTCCTTGCAAGGGTGAAATGGAACTAAAACTGCTGCAACATTTAAACTGGAATCAGCCATAGAATTAGCTGCTATGTTCTCACCCGATGGCCTCTCAGTTCTCAACAAGAGGCATGTTTATGTGTACATGGGGACATGTGGGGAGTACTGACCAGGATCCTGTTCCAAGCCACGAATCCCTGTGGTAACCCCAGAATTTCTCTCTGGGGGTAAGGGGGGCCCTGTGGGGGAATGCGGTTAGATGCTTATGGCTGGCGGCCACCCTTCTTATACGCAGGTGTATTTATGGTGGCTTTATGGAGGGGCTGATGGAAGGCAGGACAGCGCCATAGTCCAGGCTGTTTACCCTCATCTTCCCACTGGAAACACTGTCAGAGGCATTTTCCTAATGCTCTGCTGTTTAAGGAAACCTCCTAAAATGAAAACTCTTTTAAAAAGTACATTCCCTCACCAAAAAAATCTTGTTTGAAGTCATGTGTAGGCAGTGTGGGAAGACCATACTAGGTGACAGATAAACGAGGACTATTTTCAGAGCTCTGACATACACCACACAACATATATAAATGCATTTCTGTGTCACACACACACACGCACACACATGCACGCACGCACGCACACAACCCAATTCCCTCAGAATCCCTGTTCACCTTCTGTATGCATCTAGGCCAAAGCCTGAGAGGAAAAGCTAGGGCCAGTGCCTACCTGCGCCCTTCACGGGTTGGATCTTTCTCACCTTAACCAGACACTACCTTTAAAAGCTTCCCCGACCTCTGCCTTCCCACACTGGGATGGCTGATCTCTGGCCAACTTCCAAGTTGACCAAGAACCAGCCACCAGAGTGCAAAGGATGCAGTTTCTGCCCACGCCAGGAAGAGCCAGTGGTGGGGAGATGACCAGGAAGGACGTGCAGTAGGGGAGTTGTGGGGGGGGGGGAAGAAAGAGGTGTTCTATGTTTGCACCCTCACAGCAGAACTGCAGGGTTGGGCCCTCTGTAAGCCATGGGCAGGATGACATGACCACCGAGGGGGCAGGGGGACAGAGCCTAAAAATGAAGAGGGTAAGCAGAGAGGGACTTATTCCAGGTCAGGAAAGAGAGGAGAAGGAACTGAATGAACCCAAGGGAGACCAGGACAGGGCAGCTCTCTCCCTCTTGGGGTGGGAGAGAAGCGAGGGGCGAGACGGTGAGGGCAGGGCTCTGTCACAGGGACGTGGAAAATGCAAGTGTGTTCTCCACATACCAGATGACAATGGTGATCTACCCCATCTCTCCCTAGACCAGGACCTCCCTACGAGCCCCAGTCACCTGTGTCCCTAACACAGATCTTAAGGGTGGTACAGAGTAGCAGCATGATAAACAGGATGTCTGGATGGGAGAGGGAAAGAGCCAAAAG